TTTCTTACTATTCTCTTCAAATTTTCGGCCAAAACACAATGTGGAAGAAATCCATTGTGAAATTAGAAATTTTCTATGCCAAAATGTAGATCTTACCCAAAGAAGAAGAAATCCAAAGTTTTAAGTTCTAACTCCAAGCCAATCTCTCGCGAATCCAAGCCCTAGAGGAGCACATCACGAAATAGAGGAGGAAGAAGGCCAATCAGAAGAAAAATGGTGAAAATCGATGGTATGGGGGCTAAAAACGCGATCCGGTTCAATTCAGTGCTATAGCGCTGATTCAGGCGCTATAGCACCCTGGTTTGTAGATGAATGGCACTATAGTGCCATATTGAGGCGCTCTGGCGCCAGTGCTCAACAGTCAAAATTTTTGAAATTTTTGTCATTTTAAAAAGAGCAAAGCAACCTAAGATTAATGGACCCAAAATTGGCCGATTTAACAATATTTGATTTCACTATCTTTTCATTTTTCTTCCAAATTTCTCCAGTTCTTCAATTGCAATGATATGAGAGAATGATATGAGAGATCAATTCTCAATTCAAATTACTCAGGGCATTCTAACACCAAGTACTAACAACACAAACTCAACCCATTTTTTTATAATAATAAGTTCATTACAAACGAACACATCACTCAATCAAAAGCAAACACAAACACGACATTTAAATTCGCTATAATCGAGTCACAATACTTTTAAAGTCAGCACACCACAACTTAGCACTCAACAACCACAGATTTATCACACATTTAAGAACAGTTGTGAACAATGGTATCACCCTCATTTTCACCCTCCAAAAAGTTACGATCAAACACATGGTAAAAAATAGCGCAGGGAAAATCTGAAGCAACTTTATTGTCGATCCATTTGTTGTTGCAATACACGCACACCTGACAATCTTGAAAACTCGTCATATGGTCGAATTGGAGTTTTATCTGCCACTCCAAGTGCTCGTATTGGTGCTACATATCGCTCAACTTGTTGTGGAGACGGGACAACTCTTCATCAATCTTCCCCAATTTGTCTGTAATCCGCTCCAAACTCGGCGCTAGACGGTAGGAAACCCGTGAAATAAGTTTGGGCATCCTTATGCACAAACTTGTTATTTGCACTTCCATTACTCTCCATGTCTCTTGAAGCAAGGATTTTAATGGTTGGGATGATCTTCACTCTTCTCTCCCTCTACAACACTTGGAATTATGAAGAAGTTCATAGAAAATGACTCCAATCCCGTCAAAATTAATTTTAATAGGGAAGATGGGGCAGAAAACCGTCAATTGGGCGATTCTAGGAAGTTATTCCGACTGTAGTGTTATCGCGCCAGATCTGGCGCGATAGCGCCAATAAAAATTTTTCCAAAGTTGAATTTTTTTCGTCCCCAAATTATTTTAATCCATAAAATATTGTTTTGTGCCGCCTCAATCATGTAAGACTTAATATAGCTTCATAAACTCATCATAACGACAATCACTAAATAAATCAAAAAACACTGATAACTATGTGTTGTCTCCCACAAAGCATTTTGTTTAACGTCGTCAGTCCGACATATCCAATGTTTTAATTTGGTTGACCCAACATCAGAATCTCCTCAAATGTACGACTATCTCTACTTAAATAAACTTTTAACCAATGTCCATTTACCTTAATTTTTCTCACAGTTTTAGGATCTTCAATATCAACAACACCATATAATTACCATAATAAATGACCCAAACCACCTTGATTTAAGTTTTTTCTGGAAATAATTTTAATCTTGTATTATATCATAAAACTTATTTTTCATGATCAAAATGTTTTTTCAAGGTCCTTTGATCATGCCACATTTTCATTTTCTCCTTATAAATTTTAGTATTCTCATAAGATTCATTTCATATTTCATCAAGCTCATTTAATTGCAATAATCGTTTCTCTCCAGTTTCTTTCAAATCATAATTAAACTCTTTTATGGTCCAATAACTTTTATGCTCAATTTCAACCGGTAAATGACAAGTTTTTCTATATATGAGCCGATAGAGTGACATTCCGATAGAAGTTTTATAAGCAGTTCTATATGCCCATAATGCACTATCTAATCTAGCAGACCAATTCTTTTTATTACGATTGACTGTTTTTTTTCAAAAATTTTTTAATATCACAATTAGATACTTCTGCTAGACCACTAGTCTGAGGATGATAAGTTATGACAATTCTATGTTTAATTACAAACTTTTGAGTTAATGTTTGAATCATTATATTATTAAAATGACTTTCTCCATTGGTAATAATTACTCTCAACATTTCAAATCTAGTAAAAAAAATTTTTCTTAAAAATTTTACAACACTCTTAGCATCACAACGGGATAAAGAATCAGCTTCAATCCATTTAAAAACATAATCCACAACTATCAAAATATAAATTTTTCCAGAATATGGTATAAACGGTCCCATGAAATCTAGACCCTATACATAAAAAATTTCAACTTCCAAAGTAAAATTTAGGGGCATTTTATTTCTTAGGGGCATTTTATTTCTTCCAGAAATATTGTCTACTCTTTGACATCTATCATAAGTTTTAAATAATTATTAATGTCCCTAAATAAAGCAGACCAATAAAATCCAGATTATAAAATTTTAAATGTAGTTTTATCAACCCCAAAATGTCACTCAGAATTTAATTTATGATATTTTTGCATAATTTCTAGAGTTTCTTCTATTGTCACACATCTTCGAACAACTAAGTCTTTACATTGCTTATATAAATAAGGGTCATCTCAAAAGTAAAATTTCGAATCATGACTGAATTTTTTAATTTGATGGCTATCTAATCCGTAAGGTAAAATGTTAATAAGTAGTTAATTATATCAACATACAACGGAATTCGCCATGCATTAACCACATATGATTGTTTGTAAGGAAAATTTTTATTTATTTCATCATTAAAGTTAACATTATTTTCTTGTTCAAGCCTTGAGAAATGGTCAGTTATCTGATTATCAGTGTTCTTATCTACTACTTGCAAATCAAATTCTTGCATTAGAATGACCCATTTAATTAATCGTGGTTTTGCATCATTCTTCATCATTAAATATTTAATAACAGAATGATTAGTATGCACAATACATTTAGCTCCAATAAGAGAAGGTCTAAATTTATCAAAAACATACACTATATCTAATAATTCATTTTCGGTGTGGTGTAATTAATTTGAGTTTCACTAAGAGTTTTACTAGCATAATATATCACTTTAAAAGTTTCGTACATTTGCCCTAATACAACCCTTATAGCATAACCACTAGTATCACACATTAATTCAAAGGTTTTTTCCCAGTCAGGTGAAATAATAATAGGTGCAGTGATTAAATTTTCTTTTAATAAATTAAAGACATTTAGGCATTCCTCATTAAAATAAAAGTTTGTATCTTTTTCTAAAAGATGACATAAAGGTTTTATAATTTTTGAAAAATCTTTAATATAACGCCTATAGAACTCAGCATGTCTCAAAAAACTTCTTACTCCTCTTACAGACGTAGTAGGTCGTAATTCAACAATAACTCAAATTTTTACTGGATCTACTTCCTTGTTATTTTTCAGAAATCTTATGTCCTAATACAATTCCTCCTACAACCATAAATTGATATTTTTTTCAATTGAGAACAAGATTTGTTTCTTCACGGCGTTTTAGAACTTTTTTTAAGTGTTCTAAACATGAATTGAAAGAGGTTCCAAAAACTGAGAAATCATCTATAAAAACTTCAATTCCTTTCTTCAATTCCTTTCTCCAATTCCTTTCTCAATTAAATCACAGAAAATTTACATCATACATCTTTGAAACGTTGCAGGTGCATTGTATAATCCAAATGACATTCTTCAAAAAGCAAAAATTTCATATGAACTAGTAAATATTGTCTTCTCTTGATCCTCAGGAGCTGTGGGTATTTGGTGGTATCCATAATGTCCATCCAAAAAATAGAAATAACGATGCCCGACTAGTCTAACAGAAATAACAATGCTCGGCTAGTCTATCCAACATTTGGTTTAGGAAAGGTAGAGAAAAATGATATTTCCTAGTATCGAAGTTTAATTTTCTATAATCAATATGAATTTGTCATCCAATGACTTGTCTTGTAGGAAATAATTCATTCATTTCATTAATGATTATTGTCACTCCCCCTTTCTTAGGAATACAATGAAGACTAACCCAAGAACTGTCGGAAATAGAATAAATCCCCATATTTTTTTCCTAATCTGATTACTTCTAACTAGTCCTTACTTAGAAATACTATTTTGGTAATTAGAACTTTAACTATATAATTTTTATGGATATTTATTTGTTCTACTTCTTACTAATTTGAGAGGTGTGGGGATAATAATTAAGATATCCTAAAAAATTTGAGACATTTTATGAGGCAACGTATGTCTCACCCTGGGATAATGAGGTAAAAGCATTAGTACAAATTTTTGTAAGAAACTTTATAGGCACACCTCGCATTGCAAAATTTTAAGCAACATCGATAGCAAGTTAGGTTTGTAGAAACCACGATAACAACCTCAAAAAATGCACGAATAAAAAATCTATATCTATTAGTCCCCACTAAGATCTTTACATTAACTAGAGCTTCAAGAGATAGGGAGAAAATATTACATTCGTAAAAGCACACGTACGTCTACGGTGTAGATAGGCACAAAAAAAAAGGTGCCCTCCCAGTGTAAGTAGTATTTGCACGGTGATAGCCGTGTCCTCCAATGAGAATAATGTGTATGGAACGTACAACATCATGCACATAATTAATAGCCAAACTATGTTTGATATGTACATCAAATGAAAACAACCAAGAAGACTAATTTAATATAGAATACATATATAGTACAAAAGTTGCACAGTTGGTCAATCAGTGATACTATTTAAAAGCCACAGATTAAGCACAAACATATCGATAAAAAGAATATAATCATTCAACAGAAAGACGTGCATGATGAAGACAGTGGAAGTGATGCATAGCCATCTCTATCAAAGGTGCATACCTCCCACTACAATAAGCAGGTGATTCCAATCCCTTCTGTACTCCTTCACACAGGGTAATGTCTTCCATCTGCACACAAAAATTAGGATCAAATCCAGGATTTCATACTAAGAGCCATGCATTGTTTGCGTTTCTGATAATTAGAATTAATATGGTAGTAACCTGAACTATTTCACTCTCCTTTAAACTACTTTCAATAAACTCTTCATCATTCTGCAAAATTAAGTGTCAAACACCAAAACCTTAGATTTATGAAAAAAATATAATTAAAGGATATATAGACAACTATTTGAAGGAATGTAACCTAAAACTCAGCTTGCTTTTGATGAACGAAAGGCAATGGAAATTACCATCATAGAAGGATCAAGAAAGTAGTCAAATATCACTTGACATTTATTTGGTCCCAGAGGGAAAGCTAAATTTGTGTCCATCCACGGACCATACCTGAGTATTCATTGTATTTAACTATATTCAACAGCTCTCAACACACTTTTCTCTTAGCAACCTGGAATAAGAATTTTCAATGCGGCCTTACCTATTGATCATAAAGTTTGGGTATACAAACACATAAAATGCTTTTGACCCAAGTCTGTCAATGTCATTGCCTTTTGCTGCAGCAGTTTCACAGCTTTGAATGCTGACATTCTCATAAATCTAGTCCAAAAAATCAGGTGTAACACTATTAGCATTTGCCAAAAAAGTTGTCAGGATCAATAAATTTCGGAAGGGTTTTTAAATGAGACGCAGGTGGCGCGGGGTGCACTGACTTATTGGAAATGTTCAAAAAGTATATGAAATAACGTTATTTCTCAAAGTCATACTAAAAATCCTACTAAATGAATGAAGTATGTTTATATGAAAACTTTTACAGGTGCAACTAAACCAAAGAACAAAATACTTACTAAACGTACAAAAGAATAAGTTAGAAAATAAGATGAATTTAAAAACAAATGGTCAAATGGAAAAAAATAAATGGGAAAAACTAAGTAGATGGCTGATAAGTTGGCAAATTGGGTTGGCACATTTATCAAAGTTCCTTTATGATCTGGAATGATCGGAAGCACCGTGTACAGAGTATAATGTTATAGATATTAATTTAATGGCAATTAGATCAGCCATTGACATACACTAGTATTGTAGGAGTCGAGCTTAAGGCCAGATGCAAGACCTCCATGTGCATATACTACATGATAGCCCCCATCTAAGTAGTTGTCACAGAAGACCTGCGGTCATAGAGCCAGAAGAATGATCATTTCGGAAACTCATATAAAAACGGGATGAACATAACAACATGAGAAAAGTGCATCAGAAAGAAAACTTGGTTTAATACTTAGAAAATTCAATAAAACAAGAAAAATAAAAAGACAATAAAAAATAACAAGACAAACAAACCTTCCAATTGCATTCAATAGTGTATTTCCGTCTACAAATGTATTCAAGGGACGTGTCAATCCCATTGGCACTCAAAATCTTCGAAGCACTTCCAAGCCAATCATTACCCACTTCATAGCGCGAATGTTTTTGTTTTATAGGCATGTTTTTGTCCACATTGATGAGCACAAATGGTCCCCAAGAAGCCACATTTAATGGCAACAGGCCAAAATTCTTTTATTAGTAAAGAACCAAAAATCAATATTGCTCTTCAAAAATCTCTTAAAAAGGAATATGTTTGATAGAAATATAATATTACATTTTTATTGAAGTTCTTGATTCCTGTAATACGAGTGGCCCTCAAAAGCAGTCCATCTAACCCATAGGTCCATCCCTATAAAATACAACAGTCAAGCATTTTGACAGGACAACTTTGTTAAAATGTCATACATGAGGCAAGCAATTAAAAAAATATCAGCCCCGTCAGTTTGTAGACTAATGATTAAACTTTAGAAATTGTCACATGAAATGAAGTAAGTGCACACAAATAAGTCCTTAAAAGAAAAGCACAAATAACCCCAAATAAAAAAAAAGTGCAAAATATCAAACAAAACTTGCAATCCTGTAGAATCCAGCTAGAAAGATGTCTCACCATTCATTTTTTCAAGGAACTCACATGATAAGGGCACTCAAAACAGGACCTTTGCCCACTCCCAGATGCAAGAACTGAAGCATGGTGACGACATACATTGTGAAAAGCACGAAGTTCTCCACTTGCATCCCGACAGACCACAAATTCCACATTCCCCAATCTGTTGGTTCAGCTAAATAAATATATAAGAACTGAAAATTTACGATGCATGCCATCTTTTTTTATCCAAACTATGTTAAAGTTTCATTTAACATTCTTTGAGTACCATAAATTAGCAAACATTAAAATCAACTGGCTTTAGAAGAAATAATAGAGGCATAGTTTTGGTTTGTACATTAGGTAGATGATAGAGAGAAGCTAAGAAAAACCTCGAATTCAATCATAATCAATGCAATTTTCAGTTGAGCTACTTAAAATTGACAGGGCTCATGTCGGCTACTCTACTCACAGCATTATCATGTTAGCGCTACAGAAATACATTATAAATAACAAAGTTAAACCATGGGGATATTATCTTCAAATTTAGTTAAATCACTAATGGAGTCACTTGAACTAAGATTGCAGCCATTTGATGTAATCATTACAATCATATTATTTGAAATATTCTCCTTCTTACATTCCTGACAGACATACAATGGTCATTGAAGATGCATACATGTGAGTATGAATAGACTCCAAAAAGTTAAACATTAAAAATGGGCTATAGCAACAACCTTATTTACAAGGTTAGAGAAAAAGAGTACCTTCCAGTGAAAAAGTCATTAGGACTCTTGACCTGTTCAACGAAACCTGTAAACCAAATGCATTCAACGTAGAGCAGCCAACTACAATAGAAAATCTATTGAAGAAAATATACAATGAATGACAGTAATAATATAGACAACCATTTGAAAAAACTGTTGAAGAGGATAAAAATTTTCAAGTGCAATTTAAATTCTTAACAGCAACCCATTTCTATGCAAATAAGGCTTACGGAGCTGTTTGGCGGACTAATTTAGCCGGCAATTAGATTCAAGACAAACCCTGCTAACCAATTTAATGGTGTGTAAATCAAGCTGCTTCTTAAAATCCCAATAAACAGGTCTTAATGCAATTTACCAAATCTTTGGGGAGATGAATCTACAATATTTGCCACATCACAATATGTTTGTGCTTGGTGTAAATTTAGTTTCATCTTAAATTTGAAAAATGATGTCTTTCTACGAGGAAGAAAAAATTGATTTTATTACTTGTTCAGAAGCTTTGGTGGAACCCGCGACTACCATCCAGACAGATGAAACGGTATGGACCAGCTAAGCCAAGTCAGACCCACCGGCAGCTTGGCCAAGCCAGTCGGCTCTACCTTGGGGGGCAGGTTCTCCGGATATTGCTGAGGGAGATTCCAGTGCACAGGTGGGGCCCACTAGACTAATAATCAAGTATAGGAGGAAGTGAATCAAGTGAATTTTTTTTTTTTTGGTGGGGGGTGCGGAATTTGAAATGGATTTTTGACAGTATTTATAAGGGCTAAGGGCTAGGGTTTGGATTCATGTTTTGTTTTAACGGCAGTTTTCTTTTCTTATTGCGGTGTTCCTTGCAAAATCTATAGTTTGTAGAGAGACAATCTACCTTTCGAACAATATATCAACATTGTATCTTATTTGTTTTCTTTAATTTTCATAAGTGCAGCCCTCATTTGAATTTTTCTACCTATCTGTTCCAATTTTGTTGTTGTTTGTTCGCTTTTTCAGTTCTGGATTTTATCAAATTGGAATCAAAATAAGATCTTGGGGAGATGACAACAAAGAAAGCAGATGTGTTGGAAGGAGCAGGGCAAATAAGATCGGGAATGGAAGAAAGGTTCACCACCATTGAGGATAGGTTTTATTCCATGGAGAGCCAAATGGAGGATGGATTTGAAAGCATAGAGGAAATGCGAGAGATGATGAAGAGGCTCATGGAGATGCAATCAAAGGCCCTACCAACCACAGAAGTTGCAAACCCTAACCAAGGATTGATCAGAGAATCCTTGGCCAAATCAAGATCGAATGAGAGGACAACTCTCCACCAGAAATGGTCTACTAAACCCCACAACTTGAAATTGTTTTTCTTCAGCTGCTTTGTCAATGGCCATGCTATCCTGTCGTACCCCTTCATAAATTTTCGGTAGTTTTCGGTGAGCATTGGGAATCCTATCAACTCCTTCAAGCTCCTGGGTAAAGGTCAGTCTATCATAAGCCTCAATCTAGGATGGATCTGCTGCTTGTTCTGCCCTGGGCATCACGTGCCCAAGGTCTTCCACTTGTAGCTATGCAAAGGAATATTTCTTCGAATTGGATGCAATTGATGCTCTCTCAACTTCTCTAGGAGTGTCCTCGGGCGCTCCACATGCTGTCTCAATATGACTATAGATCAGAATGTCATCGAAGAAGACTAGGATGAATTATGCGCATAGGTTGAAAAACCATATTTATGATAGCCTCAAATATGGCTAGGGCGTTGGTGAGGCTAAACAACATGATTAAGAACTCATAATGTCCTTCATATGTCTTGAACACTGTCTTATGCTCATACTCTATATTCATCCTGATCTAGTGGTATCCCGACTTAAGATATATTTTTGAGAGGATGACTGTCTCATAAAGCTCATCTAGCAATTCATCAATCACAAGAAAAGGAATCTTATCCAACACCTTCTCCTTGTTTAAAGCTCGGTAGTCCATGCAGAACCTCCAACTATCATTTTTTCTTCATCAATAGGACTGGACTGGAGAAATGACTCACACTGGGTCTAATAATCCCAGCATCGAGCATCTCTCGGATCAACTTATTATCTCATCCTTCTGAATCTTAGGGTATCAATATTATCTGACATTGACAGAGGGGACACTCTCCTTTAATGTCATAGCCTGCTCATGCTCCCTCGGGGGTGATAACTCGCTTGGCTGCTGAAATATGTCCGTAATGTGTTGTAGGGGCTATTGAACCTCTTAGAGGAACTTGTCAACTCAGGACCTCATACCTACTCAATGCTCTGCAACTCCATCAAGTAGCCCATCTTTGCTCCCCGTATCGACTTGACCATGGTTCTGAGCAAGACCATGGTTTTGCAAAAGATAGCATCACCTTCCTACCCTCTACATGGAAGCCCATCGTCAGGGATTTTTAGTCCAACTTCATCTCCCCAAGCTTCTGTAGCCACATCATCTCCAGACTCACATCTATGCAGCCCAACTCTAGGGGAAGGACGTTCTCCACCACCTGTAGGTCATGTAGTATCGAAACCAATGCCTTGCAAATTCCACAACTTTTCTCCAACTTGTCCCCATCACGACGTTGAAGCTCCCTATAACCACCAGCTCCAACCCTAACTGATTCAAGATCTGATTTGAGATAAAGTTGTGTGTGGCTCCACTATCCACGAACACCACAATCGGCTGTTCTGTAATCTACCCTCTCACTTTCATGGTGTGATTCAGAGTAAATCCCACCACTGAATTGAGGGACACCTCTGCTACATCAAATTGCAGATGGTTTTCCTCCTCAATCGCATATTTCTTCGATTCCTCACCCTCTGTCCCCTCCTAGATTAAAAGGATCTGAATGACGCTCTCCTGACAACGGTGGCCTGGGTTATACTTCTCGTCACAGCGGTAAAATAATATTTTTGCTCGTTTATCTTGCACTTCTGCATCGGTGATGCGCTTGAAATTGCCCCAAGGGAAATGTTGACCTCATTTTTTAGGTCATTTCTTTTTCTAGGATCCTAGGATCTAGCTCTAGAAGTTCCTATTGATCGTCTTAGAAAACTAGAATTATGACCCGCCCTTTTAGAAATTCTAGCCACTTATATTTCTTTGATGTCTAACATTTATGACACAAGACCATCGTTTTATGAACGAGCGGTTATGAGCTATTTTGTGAAGACTCAAGGGAAAAGTTCCTAATAGGACTCCAAGCCTTAGGAAAACATTATCATGACTTTTTCGTCACATACACACACCGAATGCACAAAATTCACTGAGTTGCACGAAATTAGACTTCCATTTAGCCTAAAGGACTGGTGGAAATGCGAACTTCTCCAGATGACCTCCGACGACAGAATGGATTGCGCCAACGCGTCCAGGATACCAATTTTGGTAGGAAAGGACACCCATATTGTCATATTTTCTACACGAGAAAATTGACACGCAAATCGATGAATTCATCAAAACGACCTCTGACGGCAAAGCAGACAGCGCCAGCGCGTCCGAAATGTCAAAGTTACCCAAAAATGATACCAATTTTGTTATGTTTAGATGCACGAATAAAACACAAATTCAATTTTTATTTTTCAAAATATTAAGTACTTTTTATAAATTTTACCCCTAAATTATAATCACATTAAACCCTTCGTGAGTCCCGCCCCCTCCTCTCGGTCGCGTGCCCTAGCCGAGCCCGATGCTTCTCGCGAAGCTTCCTCGAGGTCCCCTCGTGCTATGAAAAGCTTCCACCTACTCCCTCTGACGTGTTCCGGCTTTCCCCTCCCACGCCTCTGCGATTCTCGTCGTCTTCTCCCGCGCGACTTGTCGTTTCTCTTGGCTCGGCTCACAGCTCAGGTAAGTGACGGGAGAGGCTTCTCCTCCCTTTTCTGCTATAAAACCACACTTGGGGAAGAGGTTTAGGGTTTGCCGAAAATTTTTGGAGAGGGTGGAGGTGCTGCCAAAATCTCCTCTAAATCTCCTTGGTTCGATTTTCTTTGCTCTGTTCATCTCGTGTGCTTGAGGCCTTTTGGAAGTGCTGTGGAGAAGATTTGTGGAGGTTTCGGGGCTGAAATTTTGGAGAGTGGGGAAGGTTCTGCCGAAATCTTGAATGATTCTCACCTTTCGGTTGGTCTGTGCTTTGTGTGCTTGGCTCTTTGCCGTCCGATCCTCCCTGGTCTGAGGCCCTCTTCCTTCCTCTTTCTTCAGGCATTTGGGAAGTAAGAATTTCACTGCTTTTCTTTTGAATTTATTTGTGAAATACTTCATGCCGTGAAAAGTGTTCCGATGTTCTTGGTTTAAATAGGAAGAATCGTCTTCTTCTATCCTCTTAAATTTGGTTTATTGGCTTGGTATTCAAATGAGTTGAGAAGTTTGTCATGGGATATGAGATAGATCGGCTTGGGGAAAACATTAGTCTCACTTAGATTAATTTTGGTTATGCTTAAGCCTTCATTATGCATTTCTCTCCTTGTCAACTTCTTTATAAGTAAGTTACCTGAAACTTTGCTTAAATGTTGTTTAATGTGGGCTGAAATTTTGAGAGAGGAAAGAACATAAATGTGGTTTCTTTATTTCTCCCCTGAAGTTCGTATATGATGGATTTCGAGTTTTAAGTTGTTGGGCGACCACGCAACAAGAAAAAAGGAGTTTTGAATATGGGAAAAGCTATGTGAGCAAAGTTTTATTTAGACTTTTCTAAATCTAATACAGAAGCTGTATAACATTTTGTTTCAAAGAAATTCACATACATACCACCCTAATTCCTACATATTTACATATCTAACACCCAAATTTCAATTCTCACATATTTGTTACCTTGCCTATGCATGCAATTGTGTTATTTCTTTTAGACTATCAAAAATTTGGGTGGTATGTAAGTAAGTGCTACATATTTAAATAATTAAGAATTGCATGGTTTGTATATAAATTTCTCTTTTCTCGTAGGCAAGATTTTGTCACTTGTTCTTGTGGTGGGCAACAAGATAGAAACATTCGTTCTAAGCTTTTAATGTAGCTGCAGATTCTAACCTGTTTTAATTATATTTTGGGCTGCAATTTTGGCCTCAT